TTTTGCCGCTGAGCTAAATCCCCAGCCCCCTCTACAAGAACTTTAGAGAAGATCTAATGCTGTACTTCTCAGACTCTTTAATGAAATTGAAAGGGAAGCAATAGTCCCAAAGTTATTCCTGGAAGCAAGCGTTACCCTGATACCAAAAACAGAGAAGGAACCAACCAAAAAAGAGAACTATAGGCCAATCTCCATAATGAACATAGTTGAAAAAATCCTGAATAATATACTGGGAAACAGAATGCAGTAAGTCATTGAGAAGATTATACACCATAACCAAGTAGGATTTATTCCAGGGATGCAGGAATGGTTCAACACATAGAAATCAAAACATGTAATACGCCATATTAACAGAACCCAGGACAAAAAGCACATGATCATCTCAATAGATGTAGGCGTTTGACAAAATTCAATACCCATTCATGATAAAAATCCTACAGAGAATTGGAATAGATGATCTTTATCTCAATCAAATAAAAGCCATCTATGACAAGCTAATGGCTAACATCATACTAAATGGTCAAAAACTGAAAGCTTTCACTGTAAAATCAGGAACAAGACAAGGATATTCACTATCACTACTCCTGTTGAATATAGTTCTGGAAACATTAGCCAGAGCAGTTACACAAGAGAAAGAAATAAAAGGAATATGAATAGGAAAGGAAGAAATTAAATTATCATTATTTGCTGATGACGTGGTACTCTACAAAGAAGACTCCAAAAACTCCCCAGAATTAATAATGACATTCAGTAATTTAACAGAATACAAAGTCAACACTCAAAAATCAAATGCATTCTTGTACATGAATAACAAACTCACTGGGAGAGAAATTAGGGAAACAGAACCTTTCACAATAGCATCAAGAAAAATGAAATACTTAAGGATCAATGGATTGAAGGAAGTGAAAGACCTTTCCACTGAAAACTACAGTACTATGAAAAAGGAGACTGAAGAAGACATCAGAAAATGGAAAGACAGCTCCTGTTCTTGGACAGGTAGTCAATATACCGTAGTGAAAATGGCAATACTTCCAAAACTGTTCTATAGATTTAGTGCAGTCCTGGTCAGAATACTAATAGCATTTCTCATACAACTAGAGAAAAGAATGCAAAATTTGTCTGAAGCCAAAAGAGACCCAGAATAGCAAAAGCAATTCTGGGCAACAAGGGTGAAGCAGGGGGCATGACAATGCCTGACTTGAAGTTGTACTACAAAGCTACAATAAAAACAGCATGGTACTGGCAAAAAACAGACCTGAAGATCAATGGAACATAATAGAAGATAGAGAAACAACTCAAACCACCCTCAGCTACCTTATCTTTGACAAAGAAGCCAAACACCTTTAATGGAAGAGGAATATCATGTTTAATAAATGGTTCTGGGAAAACTGGCTTTCCACATGCCAAAGATGGAACCTAGTCCCATATCTTTTATTAAACTAAAATTGAAATGGATCCAAGATCTAAATATAAAAATGGAATCACTTCATCGGCTACAAAATAGAATAGGTAAAAGACATGAATAGGTAGAAGAATAGAATAGGTAGAAGATGTGCGAATTGGCAAAGACTGTATGAGCAAAACCACAATCACACAGGAAATATTACAAAGAATAAACAACTGGGAACACATCAAATTAAATGGCTTTTGTACAACAAAAGAAATTACCAATAGAGTAAAAAAAAACAAGTCAGAGAATGGGAAAAAAATTTTTTTACCAATTACTCCTCAGACAAAGAACTAATAGCTATCCAGGTATGGTGGCACACACCGGTAATCCCAGCACTCGGGAGGCTGAGGCAGGAGGATCATTGAGAGTTTGAGGCCACCCTGGGCTACAACGTGAGCTCAAGGCCAGCCTGAACTGCATAGCGAGACCTTGTCTCAAAAAGACAAAATAAAAAAGGGAACAAAGCTTTTGTGAATAAGGAAGGGAAGAAGAGCTGCAGGGAGGAAAATGGGGGGTGGGGTGGGGAAGAAGATTCAAGATATATCATGCACAGATACAAATTCCCTGTGATGATTGTGATCATTATGTATATCAAAAGTGTACCAATAAAATAAATTTTAAAAAGAAAAATGAAAATGTCATTCTGTGAAAACATGTCTATAAGAATTTGAAGGAAATATGTTTAAAGCAGGCAAATTATCAAACTTCTCTACATCTGTTAATGCAAACATACTCTGTATAATTTGTGAGGTTATTGCAAATCACCAAAACATATGTACTAAAGATTTTAACTTTTTTTTTTTTTTTTTTTTTGGTTTTTCTCCGGTACCGGGAACCGAACTCACGACCTTGCGCATGCCAGGCAGGCGCTTTTGCCGCTGAGCTAAATCCCCAGCCCCTGTACTAAAGATTTTAATTATTAAAAAAGGACCTACCGGAAGACATTTATACTGAATAATGACAGCCCCATCCCCTCTAGAAAAGGCGAACTCTCCACCAGGAACACAAAACACATGGTCTGCTTGGGATGAGAGGACAAGAGGGGATACCAGTGGCCACAAGCAAAGCCCTCAAGCAATGCATGAATGTGTTCTGCATCTGCACTGGGGCCATGATCTCCACGGCCTGACAAAGACTGAGCCTCGCAGTCACCACCTGCTGTCCCCTCACACTATGTCGCTGCGCTGTATACTGCAGTCAGTGATTGAGTTCAGTGTCTCAGCGTGAATAGTCATCCATGTGCACCTGATGATAAAACCTGCTATGAGTCCCCCACTCCTGGGCCTCCAGGGGTTTTAATTTGAAACTTTTATATACTTTAATGAAAATTATTAGAGACTTTTAAAAAATATCTCTATAGTCACTACTGGAATTGAAACGCAACTGAAGTCAGTGCAGGAAAGAAAGTCATCCTTAAATATGACAGATCTCTAAGTGATGACCCTGAGCACTGTGTTTTGAGGGAGAATGGAGGGAAAGCACACTTCCACTGTGCCTGCCGCATCCTAAGCATCTACGTATTTGTTCATTAAAACTTAAACTTCTCCAGTCTAACATCACAGAGAGCTTTTCTAGTTCCTCATTGCTGTGTCTAAGGAGCACACAGATTGTTCCACTATGGAGAGAAAGAGGCTGTAGGGTCTTCTTATCAGAGGGAGAGCTCAGTCTATGGGCTTGGCTGTGACCTCACTTCCTGGCGACAGGTCCAAACAGAACTTGGAACCCCAGAGTCACAGGACAGCGGAGTCCTAGTGACGGCAGCCTCCCCAGTCACTTGGCTGGAGACAGTCAGCGGACAAGATGCTCTGCTGCTTTCCCAAGGGTCAGGGCCGCAGTCCCAGGACCCCGCGAAGGGAAAGCACTTGGCAACGAGTGCGAGGATGGATCGCTCAGCCCAGGTGCTTCAGGCCACTGGGCAGGAACCTCCCAACTGCCATGGGCAGCGCAGGGCAGGTCTCCCCAGCCCCAGCCCCCAGGTGCTCTGAGATGAACGGGAGCCCAGAGCAGGTCTCCCTGGGCCTGGCCGCCAGACACCTGGAGCCACTGAGTCCAGAACCGGACAGTTTAGTCCTGGCCAGCACTGTGAGTCCCCTGCCCAACTCCTGCCCTTCATCCTCACTGTGTGTTTGTGTGTGTTGTGGGGCAGGTCAGGATCCTAGAGAAGCTCCTCCTGGGCAGGGGCAGGTGCTGGGAGGCTGTGGGCCTGGGGTCCTGTCACATTCCCATGCATCACAGGGCTGGCGGGAGGAGCGGGGCAGTGCCCAGAGATTATCCACAGCCCCAGAGCCATGTCTTGTCCTCCTGGGCAGAAGCCAATGACAGAGCTATTTGTGTGTCAGAAGCACAGGCTCCTCTGGGGCAAAAACAGCACACACTGTGGTCAGGCAGAGCCTCATGCTTCGTGCCAGCTGCTGGGCATTGTCCCAATGGAGCGGCCCCCAGGACATCGGCCTGGAACTGGTCACGGGGCCTGTGTGCTGTGTGCCCGTGACACACACTGTGGTCCCACAACAACAACAGGAGTCATCTGGGGGGAAGGGTGTCTGTGTGAGCAGAGGGGACTCTGAATTTTTTTTTTTTTTTTGAGACAAGGTCTCACTATGTAGGTCAGGCTGGCCTTGAGCTCACTTCGTAGCCCAGGCTGGTCTCGAACTTTCAATGATCCTCCTGCCTCAACTTCTAGAGTGCTGGGATTATAGGTGTGTGAGCTACCATGCCTGACTTCTGAAATTTAACTTTTAATATGAGGCTCACTTTTCTGCTGGGGTCCACCTGTGCCCCTTCTGGAAAGAGCCACTATGGACAATCTAGAGTGTGATCAAGGCTGAGTCTTTGAACCCTCCTGGGAAGTCAGGGTGGGACACCAACTCCATGTCTCCCACTGTCCCATCACAGATTGGAAACCAGGCGGCCGAGGGCCTGGCAGAGGTCTGCACAGCGAGGACGGAGGCGGCAGGCACACAGTGCACCACGACGGAGCCCCTGGAGCAGGCCTTCGTGGACAGCTGCCCCATCCCTGGGACCCACTTCCCGGACCCCATGAGGGCCGACACTTCCTCCCCAGAGGAGGCCATGGTGGGAAGGTGAGTTCTGCTCTCAGAGCACAGTGCCTTGGCCACTGTGCCTCCAAGTCTTGGGCAAGTGCAGGCACCTCTCAGCCTGCCTGCAGCTTTGAGCGGTGGGGTGCTGGGGAAATCCAGCTCATCTCCTGGCTGTAGGATGAAATGGGGTCTCTGTCATCAGTGTCCACAATGGCCTCGGCTCTGTGGAAGACCTGCTGATTCTCACAGATGATTTTTCATGCCCTGGGAAGCTTTGCCTCCCCCTCACTGCCCTGCTCTTGGGGAACGTTGTTCTGCTCATTGTGAAGGAGATGGCAGAATCACTGGATGGGCTTCAGCGTGGTCCCAGGCAGGAATTCCTGGTGGACACAAAGGGCTCAGGCTACTGACAAGTCATGGAGGAGCGGGTGGGAACATCAGTCCATGAATAGACATGAAGACACACTATGTGCAGATGCTTTCCCAGGCATTGACCATGATGCAATAGCCGGGGCAGAGGCAACCCCTGCCCCATGGGGTTTCCCTGCTATGTGGGATCCACAGTCCCCATGGACAGCAGAGCAGGCAGAGGCACAGAGAACTGGGCAACACATTGCTGCATGAGCTGAAGCCTGAGGAGAGGCAGGGCAGGACAGATGCCTGCTGTCCCCTTGCTCTTAGATATTTAAGGAGCAGCTGCCCTGTGCCCTTGAGTGCAACCACAGGGCAGATGCCAGGCTCTGTCCTCAGGGGCTGACAGTGGGGACAGGGCAGAAGGTCAGTGTGTCAGGATTCCCTGAAGCAGGCAGGGTGGTGACACCACTGAGCAAGGGCTCCCTCCTCCAGAGCCTTCTGTCAGGTACTCAGGGCTGCCTGGGCCAGTAGGGCCCATATGAATGTTGAGAGATGGGGTTGGACCATGCACAGACCTGGCAGGAGGCCACGTGTCTGTACTGCAGGTGCCCAGGGCAGGCAGTGCGGGAGGCAAGGCCGGGCCTCTCACTGTGCCGCTACCCGCCTTCCCCAGGTCCACGTCCGATGTCCCTGAGTCCTCACTGGAGCTGCACTGCCACGAGGATCCCCCGGCTGAACTGGCTCTGCAGGAGCACTCAGAGCCCACTGAGGCAGAGCCCGAGCGTGAGGACTGGGGTTTGAGGCTGTGGGCATGTGAGGAGGGGGTGAGCCTTTGCACACTGAGAAGCTCAGTGGTCAATGGAGGATGCAGGCTGGAAGGACTTCCTGAGGGTGGCTCTGTGCTCAGAGCTGTCTCTGAAGGCAGTGGGAAGGCTTTGCCCCAGGAAGGAACATGGACAGCTGCTGATCTTTTTTTCTCTTGCAGCCGCAGGGCCAGCTCCAGCCCAAGCTGAAGTCCCACCTGTGGAGCCTGCGCCAGCTCCACCTGCAGCTCCGTCCCCCGCTCTGGCCTCACAGCGAGAGCCAGCCTCAGGCAGCCCTTGTGCACCAGCTGCAGGTCCAGGGCTCCTGGTGGCTCCACAGCAGGGCTCAGCTCCTGAGCTCCCCCCGGGGCCAGCCCCTGCCCCACCCCTACCCTTCCCCTCCATCACTGTGGGGCATGTTTTCGCATATGTTCTCTCCCTTCTCTTCTGGATCTACATGAATAACAGAATTCTTTTTAATAAAAGTTAAGGATTTTGGTCTGGTTCTAAACAATCAGCATTGTGGTGTGCAGTGCATTCTCGGTGCTGTGCACCCAGCACCGCTGTCCAGGTCCGGAGCATTCTCCTCAGCGCTGTGCCCGTGAGCGGCTCCTCCACTGCCCCCGAGCTGGTCCCGGCCACCACTCGTGTTAGGACCCCGTAATTTACCTAGTCCCCATTTTTCACAGTACTGCACAGAAGTACTGGAAGGACTGATGAATCTTGCTTTCTGGAGAAGGAAAAATCCTGGACAGACCCTATCCATGTTTCATTCACCTATTTATTAAATTATCCAGTCATTTTTGTCAGACAAGAAGTATTCGTTGCTGGGCATTAAGGAATGCAATATGAAGAATACAAGTAAGGGTACAGTCACAGCTACCCAGGCAGGATGTGTTGCCTGTCCTCTAGGTGCTCGCCCTTCCTGTCTTCGTGTTGGGCTTCACTAGGCCTGTGTGTCTCCACTGCTGGGTGGGCCGTGTGTCAGGCCACAGCTCTTCCGTCATCTCATACATGCCCTGGGGGCGTGGCCCCACCATAGGCCACTCCTTGATGTGGCCTTATTCCAGGGGTGCCCAGCTGGGGTGGCGGATACAGGCTCTAGATTCACCTCCCTCCTGCACTGGCCCAGATGTGCACAGACCACCTATGCTCTCCCACCTCTGCGCCAGGTGAGCTGGGCAGTGAGCAGGACAAGCCTCAGTACCATAGACAGCAAGTGAGGTAGAACTATTACAGCCAGTCAGACAGGGCTGGGCCCTTGGGACAGTCAGTGCAAAAGATGAGAACAGAGCAAAATTGTGCCTGGAGATGCATCTGAAGAAGATGAAAGTCACAATGGCCAGATTTGCCTCGTTTCTTAAGGGATAAATGCAAGTTTGACTTTATTGGTATCACGCTTTTGAGAGTTCCTGTATAAACAAACCATTATCTCATGAGGGGTGGGCCATCCTCTTCTACCCACTAAGACTAAGACTAAGACTAAAACTAAGACAGACCAAGACTAAGACTAAGACTACTATAGATTATTGAACAAGATTAATGATGTCATCCATATACATTTGCAATGTGACCTGCTTCCTATCGGATCAATATTACCTATGTGACTAGGCTTGTAATCTTATTGGTTAATCTTAATTTTGTCCCATGCTGTACCTACCTTGTGATTTTTCTCCATAAACCTTCCTTTGATTTTGTTGGTTTTTCTCTTTGTTTCCTTTTTTTGGTACTGGGAATCAAACTGAAGACCTCATGGTGCCAAGCAAGTGCTGTGCCGCTGAGCTATATCCCCAGCCCCAAATTTCCTTTGAGAAGTGGGTTCATTGGCCACCCATTCGGGACTCCTCCTGTCTCACAATGCTGTTTCTATTTCACATTCCTTTTTCCCAATAAATTTTCTTCTTCTTTTCTTTTTTTTTGTCTGTTTGAGACAGGGTCTCACTGTGCAGTTCGGGCTGGACTTGAGTTCACTTTGTAGCCCAGGCTGGCCTCGAACTCACAACAATCCTCCTGTCTCAGCCTCCTGAGAGCTGGGATTACAGGTATGTGCCTGGCTCTCCAATAAATTTTCCTACTCTTTCCCCGTTGTCCCTTACAATTCATTGTTCAGTTTTGGGGATTGTGAACCACTTGTATCAGACATCTAGCAGGTTTCTTTTTCTTTTTTTCATTTAAAGAGAATAATAATAATTAAAAAAGAACAGTAACAAAATACAAACAGAACAAAGCAAGGACATTAAAAATGATACAGGGTTTCAAACCAAATGATAGGGATTAATAGTGGTTGTTATATTATGTATTGTTATCTTCAATGAAGTTGCTCAGATTACCAGATGTAAGAATGGAAAATTGATCAAATCATTAAAGAGAATAAGAAAATAATAATTTAAAACAATATTAGAGACAATACAGAGTTTCACTAGACAGGATGGTAGGAATTTATCAATGGTTGTTATACTGCATATTGTTGTCTTTATAGCAGTTACTCAGATTACCAGATATAAGCATACAAAATTGGTCAAAATATATATAAAAAAATTTAAGCATTAACTGTTCCTTTCAATAAACCACCAGATATCAGCTGTACAGTTATCCCAGCTATCTTTCTATATATATATAGCCTTAGTACTTTCTTTTTCTTCTGTCCCTCATCCCAGTTGTTCCTTTCTTTGTGCAATTTTTTCCCTTTAATATTCTCTATTGTACATTTTGGGTTTTATTTACTCTTTCATATTCTTACACTAGGGAGACAACATGATGTTTACACATGTGGGTCCTATTTATTTCACTTAAGAGTTTGGTCTCTAGTTATATCCATTTGCCTATAAAAGCCTTGAGTTTATCTTTTGTATAGCTGAGTAATACTCCAATGAATAAAAATACCACATCTTTTTTTATCCATTCCTCAGTTCATGGGCATTTGGGTTGTTTCCAAGATTTAGCTACAACAAATTGCACTGCTATAAACATGGGTGCATGTATATCGCTGTGATATGATGTTTTTCATTCTTCTGGAAAAATACCCAGAAGGGAATAGCTGGGTTAAGCAGGATGTCTAATCCTAGTTTTGTGAGGACTCTCCACACTGCTTTCCACAGTGGTTTCACCAGCCTACACTCCCACCAGCAGTGGAGTAGGGTTCCTTTTTCCCCACAGCCTCTCCAGCATTTGTCATTGGTTGATTTCTTAATGTTAGCCATTTCTGGGGTGAGATGGAATCTCAGTGTTTTTTCAGTTTGCATTTCTTGAATGACTAATGATGTGGAACATTTAAAAAAATTTATTTGCCATTAGTATT